CATAGTCACGGACTTTAAAAAGTTGTCCCGGTTGTTGAAATCAATGAGAAACTTTTAGAAAAGACCTCTAGAGAGTTTATGTGAAAACTAACAGTACTAGTGCATGTAATCCAAATGGAATACTGTTCTGAATTGATCTGAGTTGGATTACAAAGGAGTTGTTGTGTCTAGAAGGCAAGTGATGGTGGGAGTTTACTTTATTTCACTAATCCATCTTCTTTTCTCCATTCCCATTGTCACAGTCTTAAATTCACAACACTCTATTGCTCAAAGTATTGTAGTTCTTTCCCTTATGCTCTCTTTCCACTCTTTCTCACCTTCCAGCCCACTCTCATTTTGTAACAACAGTATGTTTTAAAAATACAAGTGTGATTGAGACTTTTCAATAACTTCAAAATGCCCTTGGAGTCAAGGAAACAAATCTCACAGGGCCCTTCCATGATTTGCCCCACTAACCTTTGTAACCTCATTGCTCACTATACGTTATTCTGATATAACATTTATACACTTTTCCTGTATTTTTTTGGACCAAGAGCCAAAGAAAGAAACTGATTGGATAAGCAAGGAGGAGACAAAATGAATCCACCCACACTCTTCTCAGGAAAAAAGCAAAACCAACCTACTTCTAAAAGTGAGCAATCAATTACTGCCTGTTCCAGCAGTGTACAGGGTAGTGTCTTTCTTTAATCTTTAATTTTTTTTCTACAAAGACCCATTGAGGATAATCTGTGAGACTGCATTCTGTTACACAGTGGGGCAGGTTAAAGAAAGTAACTAATCAGGTGAAACAGATGTAAGAGAGGAGAACCTGGGATATTCTGAAGGGTGGAGGAAGAAGGCAGAAGTATAGGTATGCTGCCAGGGTTTTGAAATATAAAGGTTAATAAAAATTATTGTCCCAGATTCCAAAACCCTTAGAGTCTAATTGGGGATATGCACTTGCAGCAAATAATAAGATGATCACTAGATGGTAACTGTGTATAAACTGCTTCAGGTAATATAGAGGTGATATAGAAGAGGTTTGTTTGGAGGAGTTTCTGGAGCTCTGGAACATGCAGATGGGGAAATCTTTTTGGATTTATGGGTTTTGAGCTAATAACAATGGTCTCAGTAGAAGGCATAGATTAGAGAGTGTTCTACAGATGAATCAGAGCTGAAACCAGAAGACCAGGCAGTGAATGGGAGAAAAGATAGAATGACCAATGGTTGAGCCCTGGAGATACCAGATTTAAAGGGGTGTTCAGAGTAGGACTTTATCTCACATAAAACTGGATGGAAGAGAAGTAAGGGGAGGACAGAGAGACAGTGCTATTATAGACCTCTTTGGAAGAAAGAGTTCTCTAAGACAAAAGTTGGCAAGAGTTTTAAATGAGGAAAAGAAGTTGTATAGAAAGAACAGCACAAAAAATACCCTTAGATTTAGGGAAAAAAAAAAGATGGTAGATGGTTGACAAACTTAGCCACAGCAAGTTAAAATGAATGGCCAGGGCAAAACATGAAGTGATAGATTGAGGAGGGTATAGAAAGAAAGTATGCAGTATGAGTATGCAGAAAAAGTATAATTTATTTTTAATTGAAGTTGGGTACAAAAGGAAAGGTGAGTGATGGACAGAAGATTGGATAAATGGTTAAGAAAGGTTTATTAAGATTGTCTTTCTTTTTGTTTTAACTTTAAGATGAGAAAACCAAGATATGATTATATGCTAAGGTAGAAGAACAAATAAAGAAAGAGATTTTTAAAGATACTGAAAAGAAAGAAAACAACTCTTAGGAAAAGATCCCTGAAGAGGTGGGAGGTGAGAGAAAAGTAACCCAGCAGAGGTAAAAGAAACAGAAGAGAGTAAACACATAAATATACACAGAGGGATTGTGTTTGATGGTTGGTTGGTTGATTTATCTGTTGGTTTCGGAAATAATACAGAATTTAAAAGAAGTGCATATATAGTACCCACTATCCATTATCTCTTTAAGAAAATATATTTCATATATTCATAGACAATAGACTTAAAAATAAACATGTGAATCAAAACTAATTTCCAGATAGAGGTCTCTTGGAAGAGAGGAGATCAGGGAAAGAGAGACAGAGACAGAGAAATAGAAATTCCTTACATATTATTCTTTACCTAACTAATGTAAGTGTCCCTTACCCTTAAACTTCCATGTAAAAAACAAAAACAAAAACAAAAACAAAAAACCTGGCTACTTAAGGAAAATAATGCCTCATTAAATGCATCCTCAGCATAATCATGCACAAACTAGAATCTAAAATTCTGTGACACTGAGACAGCTATAGTTCATTCATCCCTTATGAGGCAAGCATGCAAGTTAGCAAATTAATTACATTGTAATTGGGAACTATTGTTCCCACTGATAAAGAAAGAGACAACCCAAAATGGAAAAAACAAAATTAGAATAAACCTATTACAGGGAGTAAAACTTTTTGATTAAAATATAATGCCTGTAGAAAGTTTAGCAGACGTGAAGAACAAGTAACTTAAAGTACGGTCATAAAAATAAACAGGAAAAGGTAAAGGAAATCATCTTTTTATGTTACTTAAGCATACATAGTTCTGATGCACTATTTTCAACTGTAGGAATCTCTTTGAACAGATAGATCAGAAAGTTAAAGAGATACTATCTTCTTGTATAATTAATTAATTCAAAGACTGGAATAATGTCAGATTTTAATTCACTTCAAAAGAAAAATTTGTGCTGCCTTACAGATATTACAATTGCATCTGGTTTTGGTGGCTGTGTTAATATTTGGGATTGTCCTGCTAGAAAGCTGTAAGGCAGGTCTTCGAATTTTCATAAACCTCTGTGGCTACACCAAGTTATCATTCAAAAACTTTCATTACTTACACAGCCAAGCAAATATTTCAATGTGCAAGCAGAAATTATAGATGTGTCAAGGTGTTGCTTGATGATTCTTAGGTAATTGTAGGACAGTTTTCAGAATCTCTACAGCCACAATATCCATTTTGGATAAAGTTCAACATCAGATTGCTGTATGACTTGGCATAGCAATTGGTATAATAATCTGAAAGAGGAGTCAGTCTTCAACTTTCATTCTCTACCACACTTTCCACCCCACCTCAGCAAGATCTTTCCAATAAGTGACATATTATTCAGACATGCTGCAAATTAGTTCAGGTTGGAAGAGACCTCAGGAATCAATAAGTTTAATGGTTTGCACACCTGCTTTTGGATAATGAAATTTTCTTTTATTTTTTTCCCCTAAGAAAATTTATATAGAACTATAAAAATGAAAT